CTACTACTCCTACTACTCCTACTACTCCTACTACTCCTACTACTCCTACTACTCCTACTACTCCTACTCCTACTACTACTACTACTACTAGTACTACTAGTACTACTACTACTACTACTACTACTACTAGTACTACTACTACTACTACTAGTACTAGTACTAAGTACCACTACGACTATTACTAGTACTAAGTACTACTAGTGCTACGACCATGACTACGACTGTGACCGACTATGACCCCGACTACGACCCCGACTGGACGACTGGACGACGACGACGACGACGATGACAGGCTGAGTTGGACGCGGGGCTTCTCACGAGCTGTGTCGCGGCCATGTCAGTGACTTCCCACGGTCACTATACACAGGTGGTGGACGGTGTCCACCAGAGGTCAAACAGATCAGAAACGGTCTCTGTCCAACAACTGGCTCATGAACTGTGCAAGTCCAGCTGCAAAACTTCCTCCCCGAGCATCAGCATCCTGGTCGCAGCCAAATAGCGGCCCAGAGCCACCGCCCCCACTTCAGCCAAATCCGCCCATCCAGGACGAGCCGCGTGGTTGGTGGGGGATTGCGTTCCCCATATAGAGCTCGCTCAGTGGCGTGCTAAAGTCAAAAAAGGCTCCTAAATGGGCCAAATCCTTTTCATGGTAAACAGCACCCAGTCCCAAGTTCAGGGCCATCTGACAAAGATGGTGAGAAGGTCTCCAGGGGGGCACCCGGCTTGAGCTCCTCTTGGCACAAAGTGCATGGGATGGTGTCATGAAAAGCGGCAGGAACAAGTTGACTCATAGCTTGACGGGCAGCTTCCAAATAGCCATCATGGTGTTGGCTCACATGCACCTCCAGCCAGGGGCCACTCGGTACGCAGAGGCCATATACATCACACACGTGGTCCTGAACGGCTTGTCCAACGCCCGAAGTGGCTGCCAGTCCCCGAAGCCCTTGAACCATGTTCACGACAGAGCAGGGATGGACCTGGGGTTGGATCACAAACAAAGTATACCAACCGCAACAGCGCATGACATCCTGGTTCGGATGCAGGTGAATATACTCATCCAAATCAGTCTCTTGTGAGTCGTTCATTGACGCCCAGCCGGTCGAAGTGCGACAAGCCGCACGATAATGCCCACCACCCAAGTCACCTGAGTGCGCGATGAGACTGAGTACCTGATAAGTGACACGATCACAGGCAAGGGAGGATTCCCATCGAAACACGTCTGAGGGACCTCCAGTTGCCAATCCGCTTTCTGGTAGCGACCTTGCGCACACACGGACTTGTCAATGATCAGTGCAGTGTGCTTTGGGATTGGTGGTCAGTCCCGCTCTCATGCCATGCAAGGTTTCCCACTCATCAAAAGGTGGCTATTTTTGAACAACACCGTAGGCGATGGTGCAATCAACACCGGAAGCAATTTCCTCGATCATGGCACTTGAATGCACTTGATCTCACCGCTTTGGTCGAACCTGCGTTCCCATGAACAATTGAAGAGTCGTGGCTGACACCGTGACAGCCAACGCGGCACAAACTCAAAAAGCTCCTGTTGCCCCAAGCGGGCCCATGAGTTCAGAAACAGCTGCATTTCACCCGATTGCGCCAAATGTAAACAAAGACCAGCTCGAGAAAACAATAAGGTTTGGATGGTCTTGCGTCCTTGCCCCAAATCCTGTCACCGTGCATCAGCTCGGTGAAAATGAGCCCAAAGAAAAGATTCCAAGGTAGCATTCAACCAACACACCTCGTGTCGGTTGATCAGCTTTCCAGCCCAGGAGCTTTGAGGTGACATCGTCGAGGTAGGCTGGCCACTGTGTTTGGCAGGAATTGACCATCTCAGGCGTCCCTCCACCAGAAGCCACACCGCATTGAAGCACAGGGTCGACAGAACGTCGTGAAGGCAGTTGTCCCTCAGAGTGACTTGCAATTGGCCTGTTCCCCCCCGAGGTCATTAGTCGATTGGTCATGGCATGTTGCCTCAGTGGATCGTCCTCGTTGGCATTCATAGACATTCCATCAACTCCTGAAACGATGGACTGTGTTTGCTTCCACTGAGTGGCCTTCCCGAAGAGCTGAGGAACAATCGTTCCCTTAGAGGCCACGCTTTGAAGGTTGCTCTCGTGTCGAAGCCCCAAGGATACCGAGTGTTGGACTGTCTGATGGAGAGAGGTCAAGGTGCCCTGGTTGGAGGTGGCTTTTTTGCCTTTTCCTTTCCCTTTGCCTTTGTGCTTCTTCTGGCTCTCCTCCTGGTGGTGCGAGAGTCAAGGGCGTTTGTTGAGCAAGTTGCCCCATACATCCTGCATCCGATCCAGCGTCTCCATGTCCTCTCCACCCTTCCTGGGGAACGTAGGCCTCCATCGCGAAGGAGGAGCGCAATGTTCACTGCCACTGGACACCAATCAGGTAGTGCTTGAGCCTCCAAGCGCCCATCACAACGGCCGAGAGAAGGACACTCACACTGCGTGTGGTGAGCAGGCAATGGATCAAGAGAATCCGAATGCACCGTGCTGAGATGATGCTGCAAGTCATCACAGGGTCGATAAGAGCATGTCAAGCAGTGACTACTGAGGGCCTGACGAAACGACGGCTCTTCCCAGGCCGAGGCAAGGTCAGTCTGAAGCAGAGTGGCCAGCTCAGCAGGAACCTGAGCACTGTCATCGACAATGGCCACCTCCTCAAAGAGAGAGACCAGCAATCCAGCCTGTGTCAGAACTGCGCACCGATGACTCGGATTAGAGGCCGTCCTTTGCCCACCACAAGCACAACGTAGTTACAGTTGCTGAGCATAGCAAGCATCAAAGGTGTTCTGGATGGTGGCAGCCGCTTGCGCATCAGAGCGAAGAAGTCAGACGGAAGGAACGTCAGTGGTCACCACTTGCTTGAGCCATGGCCAAGAAGAAGGGATGTGTGAGCCGGCGGGTCGGCTCGGATCAAACTGCTTGCGCTGTCCTTTCTCTATGTGAAGTCGCAGAGCCGAGCGATGGAGCAATCACCTTCGTCGTGGAGTACAGCTCGCCAAAAAGGTGACCAATGCCGGACTTGGGACCGGCCAGCGAGAAGACGTCCCAGAACAGCAGCGCAAGCAACAGCCAGCAGAGAAGCGCCGGAAGCGCACGAAAGCCCGCCGCCCGGTATACCAGAATGGAAGGGCCACCACGATCCCCGCTGACGGGGGGCGGACCACAGGGTCCCTCTATATCCCTTTGTGCTGAGAGGCGACGACGACGACGACGGCGGTCCTATATAGGACGTATACGACTACGACTACAGTACTATTATATACGCCTATTCTGAAGGACTACGAAACCAACGCGACGCAGGGACCAGGGGTGCAAGGGGGCAGGGGGCCAAGAGACCAGCTGATTTGGTTAGTTTTTTGATAGCTCACCCTCTTTTCGCACTTTGCTTTCTCGATTCCGGCTTGCTTTTCTTTCCTGTGTTACTTCGCTTCGCAGCTGACGAGGCGTCCCGATCGGGGGGCGGGGCCGTGGGTGATTTCTACTTGTGGGGGGCCACTCTTTTGGTGGGTTGGTTGGTTGTGGTGCTTGCGATTCTTTGGTTTTGATCTGTTGCTACTTCTTGGAATTTCTTTGTGCTCTTGATCTCACCCCATTTTGTGTGGTGTATAGATGCCTTGGAACTCGTTCTACATGCACCAAAACCATTGTACTTTCGATGGTTGTGTGGCCAAAAACAACCCCTTGAGCATATATAACATTTAACAAGTCATATTATAACAACAGTTTATTCTTCGCAGATCGCGCCCACCATCCAAACCCCAGAAGTTGGAGGCCAGCAACTCGTGGTCATCACTGTCGCCCACGGGCACGCTGCCCACAGCGCGGTATTACCACACTGCGGTGTGGGGCATTTCGTCTTCGGGCGAATATGGGTTCTACATCTTCGGGGGCCATGATGGCGGCCATGGCCTTGGGAGCTCCAGAGGGGCGATGCAAAAGCATTGGGTGGATCGGGAGGGAGAGGAAACCGTTCGCCGAGGCCTTTTGAACGATTTACACTTCTACTGCCAGGCAGGATGAGGGAAGAGGATTTTGATTGAGCTGTTCAAAGACACATAGCAATCGGCCAGTGTTGCCTAGGTATATACAAGAGTAGTGATTGCAACCAAGAATCAGTTGGGGGCAACTTTGTATTGTTTTTACAGAATGATTGCAACAGTTCTCAAGGTCGCGGAGGCTTTATGTTCAAGAAGTGCAAATGCGACCGGTCTAGCTGCTAGACCGAGCCTATATATACTGTAGCACATTGAACATGGGTCCTAAACGGCTGAATGCAAATACGAAGAATAGTGTGAACTAGGTGTGGTGTCAATGCAGTGACAAAAGTTGAACGTTTAGGTGGCTTAATTAGGTGAAGAAACATGTCATCATGGCTCCAGGGGCAAAGTTGGACAGTGAAAGGTTGTCTCATAACATGGCAAAAGCTGCGTTGGTCTTTGAGCACACAAATGCATTTCCTGGTGGGTTTGCTTGCCAAATTTCACAAATAGGGTTTACAGTACGCTGGCTATGAGGAAGTGCAGGCTGTAAATTAGTTTTTCAGCTTGACAGATAAGTCAATCAATAAATAGAATTCCTGTTCTCTATGTGATTGGATATTGTGTTTAAACAAGGGGTGGACGTCGCGAGGGCGTCGCGCTAATTTGCATGGTTGGTTGACGCAAAGTCTCATGAGGGTCATCGTTTTTGCCTCTCGTTCGTTTTCTAGCAAAAGTTTTTCTTGCCAAATGTGTTCGACCTCGCTTTTGCGATGGCAGGGAAGAGATCGTTGCCTCTGTTGTGGTAGCGAAACTGCCAACTCCGAACATAGTTCAAGAGTTCCGGATTGACAGCTCTAGAAGAATCCATGGGCAATGCGCGAAGACGAAGACCCAACAAACGTCTAGACAAGACCCAAAGGGAAGCAGTCAGAGCGGAAGAGAAACACGGAACCGAACCAGTGTACCGAAGCCGAGCCGCTGATAACAGAGGTATGTAAGAAGGTAAGCCGGACCAATCGCACCAAGATCTATCCGGATCGAGCGAAGCCTGTAAAACAAACCGCTCTAAGACAAGAACGACACCAACCGTCTATGTACTGATCAAGCGTAAACGGATTCACAGGAAACAAAAAGAAAAGCAAACGATCTGAAGACGGACACGGCTGACCAGCAATGCGAAGTAACAATATGAACACCAAAACTAAAGCTTGGGGGCAAACCATTGTTGAACCAAAATCCTGCGCAATACGACTGAAGCTATCTGAATGTGAATGAAGTGCAACGTTATCTTAAAGTAAACGAAGTACGAAGTTATCTTCAAGTGAACGAGCGAAAGAAAATCGGCGTCATTCCCCCCCCTTTGTTTCCTTTTTCCTAGAACCAACCTCTGTATGGTCTCACACCTTATGTACACACATGACTGATACATTTGGCTCAAGACTGAGAAAAGCCGCTTGCTTTCATAGCGCGACTGCATTCGACTCGTGTCCGAGCATCGTCCGATTGGACCTCTCTCGAGATCGTGTTCTTTCCAAGGGAAATCCACTGCATTGCACTTCGTGTCAATAGTGGTAGCGGAGCCTGGTTGTGATGTTTACGTCAGGCGATGATGCTACGGACCTTCCCTGGTCGAGTGTAAGTCCAGTCCCACGAGGAGTCGATGCCGCCTGTCTTTAGTCACGGACGCGTAAGTTGGTTTAGGTACGAGGAGGCAGTCGATGACTGGTTGTCGATAACTAGCATTGATAAGCCCGAACGTCACGGACCACTACTTAAGTCCAGATTAACAGCCGATGCCACGATGTATAGAGTTAGAGAGCTTCTAGATAATGATCGTCTCAAGGATCCTGAGAATGGAGTTAATTACTTCCTGCAGACCGTATTTCGTAAAAGGAGCTCAGAACGTTTTCCTCTATCGTGTTTTGAATTTCTTCAAGCACCGTAGAGGCAATCAAGAATTCGTGACATTCATCAGCAAGTTTGAGATTCTCTTACGCCGGCTTCGTGCCTCATGGATGGACACCATGCCCAAGGTGACAGCAGAATTCCATGAACAACTTGCCAACTACGATCGTGTAGGTGCAGAAAGAGCTCGTGCCATTTATACACAATGGCTGGTTGACTGCAACACAACAGCAGCGTCAGGAAGTGCGCCGCCAGCCCGACCACCTGAAGCCGATTGGACCGATAGAAATTGTGCAAGCCAGGATATCTTGGACAAGTGGAACAAGATCTGTCAGGACCGACGCAAGCAATTTCATAGCTGAGCTTTCAGATGGCCAACGTGAACGGTTAACTAGTGAACTGCAGAGCAAGGGAATTCTGATACACCTGTACGACCTTGAGACTATTAAGCAGAAGTACTACGACCTCTTCATAGCGTCTAGAACGGCAAGATCCTAACATTCGCCCGCGCAACAAGCAGCGTTCGTTTTGGATCGTAGACCAAGGAGAATACGAAGGAGCGGAAGGTTTCTGGGTCAAGGATGAAGAAAACGGAGAAGGAGGTTTTATGCCCTTAGATGACGAAGAAGCATTTTGGGCCGTTGACGAACATGAATGTTTTGCTCTCCATAGGGTCCCAGGTAGACGCCCAAGGGGCCGTCGTAAGGGCGGTGGAAAAGGCTGAGGCAAGGGTAAGGGAAGGAAGAAGAGGAGCATTTAGGTCCTATACTGGATCCCAAAACCGTAAGAGCGGCGGCGAGGCCAATATGGCCGAAGAAGAATATGAACCAGATCAGTCTTACTGGGGTAAGGGCCAAGGAAAATCTAAAGGAAAGAAAGGAGGCAAATACACCAAAGGTAAATTCAAGTTTGGCAGTAAGGATGATTCAAAAGGAAAGGACGGCAAGGGTAAGTCCAAGACTTTCCAAACGTCCGATGATCAAGGCGCCTCGAGCTGCAAGCTGACCTCGAGTACAGCCAGAGAGCCTCAGGACCCTTCCACGGATGACTGGTCCTGGTCCGAAGATGCATATTGGATGCGGGATACCTGGTACGGTACTCCCGAATGGTCCTCATATGATCTTGCTGTAGATTGCCTCAGCTGTACCAAGGACACGCCTTTCGCAAGTTCTCGAGCCTGCCAAGTACCCTACTCATGTCATTCTCGGACAACGGATGTACTAAGAGCATGGGTTCATGGTATGCCGTTGAACGTTTTGTCCACGCAGTTCGTGAGAGCGGTAATCCGAACATTACCTGTTGGTATGAACCCGGTGACACCGCCTTCACATTTGCTAATGGACAGATCGGAAAGGCCGAATACAAGCTAGCAATACAGTTTCAGACTTCGCGTCCATGTTGTACCTATGTTGACATCCTAGATCAAGGTAAGGTCCCAATTCTCGTCTCAATTGAACAGATGAGGAACCTGAACGTCACCATAGAGCATACGAACGAAGGCGACTTCATGACCTGCCCATCCTTGGGGTTTGAAGCGAGCCCTCTTGCCGATGGCCCGCTCAGGTCATGCGATGCTAGACCTGACCTCCTTCGTGAGACAGGACACTTTTTCTGCAGCATCAGGTAAGAAGAAGGATGACAAGGACACTGATGATCTTCCGGTCGTGGTTCAGGAAGAGGAATCTCAGGACACTAAGGAGCCCAAGGACAGCGATCCACTTGCTGATCCTCCACCTTCGTTACCAGTTAAGGTCATGTTACAGTCTACTCGTGATCGTTCTGCTCCAGCATCACTACATGCTGTGTCTTACCGACAGCTTCTCCGAGAAGCTGCATTAGCACGCAGTACTTCCGTAACCTATGGGGGTGTTACACCTCTTGAACTAGCTTTTGGCAGACGTCCAGCAGACATGTCCGCCGTGATCTGGCCGGTCAATTCCGCATGTCAAATAAGCCAATAGCTCCAGGCAATAAGGTCTTTTATTGGCAAGAGGACAAGTGCAAGATCAAGGCAGATGGAACTAAGGGCGGAGTATGGATCAAGGGTAAGGCAATCTCTGTCGAAGGAGCTATGATAGGTGTAGACTTAGGATCACGGATAGTTAAGGTCAACGTTTCCTTGCTGAGACGTGATGATACCATTGCGCCGTCCAAGCCAGGAATTGAACTTCCAGAGCGTGATCATCCTCCTCCACTACGTGTACGAGGTAAGAGTGCACCGAAGATTTTGTATATGAAGATGCCGGAGAGTTTTTCAGTTGTGATGGTACTTCCTATGCCGAAGCCCACTGGAATTGTGAGATAAGAGGTAAGATCCATGTTCTGGAGATCTTCGCTGGCTCAGCCAGATTAAGTCAGTGTTGCGCTTTGTCCAGAATGAAGGTAGGAACTCCGATTGATATTCGAAATGGTTTTGACATTTCCACGTCTAAAGGAAGAGCAATGACCAATAGGATCATTAGAGAGCAACAGCCAGAGGTTATCATTTTAGAACCTGTCTGTGGTCCTTGGTCCAATCTGCAGAAGATCAATGATTGGGAGTCTGTCCAGCAGAAGTCGTAAGATGTTGCCTATGGTCGATTTTTGTGCAGAAGCTGCCAAGTATCAACATCGAAAAGGAAGATACTTCGTCTTAGAGAATCCATTTACTACCAAATTGTGGTAGTTTTAAATCCTATCTTTCGCCGATGTTCCAATCGTTATTGTAAGAACAAACATGAGCATGAACATCTTGAAGGGTCAGCTAAAGGACATGGAAGTAGAACTCATCTCGCGCAGGTCTATCCTTACAGACTTTGTCAAGCACTTGCTGATTGTTTCGGCAAGTTCTTCAACGTCCGTCCTTCTGACCGATGTACAAGCCTGTATACGGAGCTGGTTGATGATTTTTCTGACAAGGAGTGTCAATCCTTGATCGAAGTGTTCCAGTCCTCTGTGGAACATGATTTCTTGAATATAAACACCATTAATATGAAGGATCTTCCGTTTGATACAAACGTAACAAGCGCAATTGTCGAGGACTCTTGTTTTGCGCGCATGTCAAGGGCCATTGCGCAGGTTTCCAACGCCTGTGAGCTCGATATGATTTCACAGAGTTATGAGGATAGTCGAATTCAAGCAATTGTG